AATCCCTGTGGCTTAAAGGAGAATGACATAAATGTCATTATCCAAGAGATTCTCTTAATTAATTTTAGCCTCTTCACTTAACTCCTCTGGGTATTTCTTAAAATGTTATTGCTGGTTCCTTTTCCTATGTTTAACACACAAATTTTTTTTCCCATTCAGTTTCAGTTAGTGCTTGGGTCGCTATATTTGCTCGTTCTGCTATCTTGTACCAGCATGGTCAGAAATGTTAAACATGAATTAGGAATTTAAAATCCTCAGCTTTGGGCTTACCCATATTTTTGGTGTTTGGCATAGAAATTGCTGAATGAAGCTGTTTTAGACAAATACATCTTACATACCCTACCAGGATTGGAACTGTCTACTATTTTTTCCTTCTATATCAAGATTTTATAAAATACAACATAGCATTCATAGTCCTTAACTACTAAATCAAGATATTCTGCTCAGAGGCTACCCTCAGGCTTGAAAAATTTTAAGAAGGAGCCTCTGCTCATTTTCAGCTGCAGCAGCAATAACGTTGGTTGTCTTAGAATTTAAAAATTTTTTTTTCTTCTTTTGGGTAAACCAAATTTGCTTTGGTTCAGTTAGAACCGACTGCTGCCACCATTTCCTTATAAGCCATGTAGTTTTTATTCCGCACAGCCTCCTGTTTGGATATGCCCTTGGCATGTGGAAATAATATGGGTCTGTCACTTAATTGTCATTGAGCTAGCGTGGGAAGCGATGCAGCCTAGCAGTGTGGCTGCTGTGGGTTTTCCTCACTGTTCTCCTAGGGAACACTAAAAGGGCAAAGAACTTTAAGGTCTTTGTCTCAAATACTTGTCTAGTTCTTAATAGTCTAATCGTGGTGTACAGGTAATGTACTTAAGTGAGCTCTGTGGAAGAAGGAGGCTGTTGCGCACAATACCTATTGTAGATTTTATCATGAGCTTATAAATTTTCTGACATTGGTTTTCACTTGAATGCAAACAGAAGTTTAGGTGACAGAAGCTTCCTCCCCCCCTCCCCCGCTTCTTAACAGCTGTTTAGCCTTCTTTATTTTTCTTAAAATTGCAGCATTTAGATAGATGTTCCATTAGTAATAGTGCTCAGTTATGTTGATACCTGTATAGTCCAGAAATTTCTCTTTTCTTGCATTAGAAACAAAGTGAGTTTTCTTCTTTTGTCTTACGTGTAATGAAAACGTACTAGCTTCTGAAACTGGGCAATTTTATCTTGAATATGCTTTGTATATTTGTACCCTTCTCCAAAGGTAATATTAACTGATCATTATATTGTACAGTTCCAGAAGGTTGGTTTTGCTGAAATATGTAACTTGTAGATGTGTATTTATAGACATTTCAGAAAGTGTCTTTGACTATATGGAATTCAGTAAGTCTACTTTGAGACTTTATAGTGAGTTTTTAAAATACAGTGCTTTTAACTTTTGCAGTACAAACCTTAATACATCTTTAAAAATAGAAGCCTGATAAATGAGATGAATCTGATAAGAAAGCAGAACTTTCTCTTTTATTGGGTAATGCCTAAGGCCATAAGAACTTACATCTTAATAGGAGGTGATTTAAAATTTTCTAATACTATTTTACTCTTAAATTAGTTCAGTCATACTGTTTAATTTATTATCTCTAAAAGGAGGTATTAACTAGTAAGAAATCCTAGATTTTAAATTATCAACCACCTATCTGCCTAAATATGACAAAAAAAAAAAAAGCTGAAAACCTTTTACATTTTGAGATTCATCAGACTTTTAAATATCAGAAAATAAATTTTTTACATAATTTTTAAGAACCCATAGTAGGGTAGGATTCACTCCAATTATGTTACTAGCATAAGATTACCTAAAACATGACCCATCAGTCATCATTAATTAGCAAACACAACTCATTCATCCACTTGACAAATATTGGTAACCTGGTGTGTATCAGGTACTATTCTAACACGCGCTTTTAAGAATTACTGCCCTTAAATTATTCTGCTTTTAAAGTTAATTACCAAATCTTATATTTGTCGCTTTGAAAGGAGTTAATTACCTAAAGTGACAATTTCTAAGCTATTGGGAGGATCCAATTCAATATTCAGGTAAGAAACCCCCTAGCCATAGTGATGTTAAAGCCAGAGAAAGTTTGCATTGAACAGGATTTGAACCCAGATCGGTAAAATGGTATTCAGCTATTTGGAAATACCTTTGTCACAAAGAATATTTGTAACAATATTTTCAGTTCATGGGACTTTGCCTAAGTTCTGTTAGACCCGTATTATTTGTGACATAGTTTTCCTTATAAAAATAATTAAATTTTCCATGAACTACGAAATCTGTAATATCCTAGAGTCACTAGAAACCTCCAGCTGCCTAGCTGATATCTTCTTCACTTGGATGTCCCATACAGTTGCTCAAACTGCACATTTTGAAACCACTTCAGCCTTATTCTCACATCTGCTTTTTCTCTGGTCTTTTCTGTCAAATCACAAAGGTCAGAGCTGCTTTAAGTCTTAATTCTCTCTAACCCCCTCCCCCGCAGTTCTACAGGTGAGTATGGTCAGTTCTCCCTCCAAAATCTATCTCCAGTCTGTCCACTCTTCTCTCTCTCCATTATCGTTGGTTGGGTTCAGGCTGCCGCCTTCTTACCTGATTACCACAGTACTCCCTTGACTTTTCTCCCTGCTTTCCTTCTTGTCAGCCTTTCTCTGAGCCATTCTCCACACAGTGGACTTAAAGATTTCATCTCCATTTATTTAGAGTATGCACGTGAGCGGGGAGAGGCACAGAGGGCAAGAGAGAGAGTTTCCAGCAGACTCGCCACTGGGTACAGGGCAGTGTGGGGCTGATCCCAGTACCCTGAGATCATGACCTGAGCCAACATCAAGAGTCAGGTGCTAGGGCGCCTGGGTGGCTCAGTGGTTAAAGCCTCTGCCTTCGGCTCAGGTCATGGTCTCAGGGTCCTGGGATCGAGCCCCGCATCGGGCTCTCTGCTCGGCAGGGAGCCTGCTTCCTCCCTCTCTCTCTGTCTACCTCTCTGCCTACTTGTGATCTCTGTCTGTCGAATAAGTAAATAAAATCTTAAAAAAAAAAAAAAAAAAGAGTCAGGTGCTTAGCGGACTGAGCCACCCAGGGGCCCCTAACTTAGCTACTTTCTTAAAGGAAACTAAATCATTCTGCTCCTTGCCCAGAACCCATACATGATTTCCTTTTGTACTTAAGATAAAATTGAAAATCTTTTTCTTGGTGTTACACAGTCTGGCATATGCTCCTCCCTGTCAGACTTGCCAGCTTCACTCTTCACCAGTGCTGTTCCGGGTCCCAACCCTTCACTTGGTCAGCTCTTCTCCTCCTTCCTGTTTCAGCTTAAAATGCCACTTATTTATTTATTTATGTATGCATGTATGTATGTATTTGACAGAGAGATCACAAGTAGGCAGAGAGGCAGGCAGAGAGGGGAAAGCAGGCTCCATGCCGAGGAGAGGGCACATCGGGCTCGATCCCAGGACCCTGGGATCACGACCTGAGCCGAAGGCAGAGGCTTAACCCACTGAGCCACCCAGGTGCCCCTTAAAATGCCACTTTTGACGTAGGTTTTTTTGCTGAGCCTCGCTTTTTAGATATATTGCTCCTTGTCAAGGAAGGCTCTCTTCGGCGGTGCACTGTACTAGGCCTGTTCCTAACTTGCAGGGGGAGCTACCACCTGAAGATCTACGGAAGGAAGAGCGAGTGGAGGGCCTGAGGCTGAGAGGATCGTGAATTCAAATCAAGCTGCCTTCAAAACCACATGACACTCAACTTGCTAAAGCATTTGAACAAGGGAGTCTCTATACAGAGTGAAATAATTCAAAGATTTTTGTCATCATTGAGGCATCCTTTGCAGGAAGCAAATCTCCATTCTCCAAGTGATGGACTCTCATTCAGATTCCTAGACAGGTTTCAGAAATACTTGTGATGCCATTGGCTCGGCTCAGCAGCGAATTCATTAGAACTCAGTGACTGAAATACAGGGTGCCCCATACCTGGTTTCTTTTTGGCCAGGAAGCATCAGAGTCCAAAAAGCATTGATTTTAACGTCAGTGAGAATTGGCCCCAAATCTCAGCTCTTTCACGGATTGCCTGTCAAACTTGGGCAGAATATTTCTTGACTCTGAGCCAGTCTCCAACCTGGTGGTCTGTGGTGGGGATTAAATGAAGTACTGATTTTAAAGTCCCCAGCACAGAGCAAATGGCTCCACTGATTCTGATCACTCTCTGCTTACATTGAACCTTCGGAAAAAGTTATCCAAGGAACTTCTACTGAATTTTGAGACTGCTTTACCTGGACTTAGAAACCATATAGTTACATCTGTGCAAACATTTGAAAAGAAACAATTGATGAACACATTGACCAGAATTCCTTCTTAGTTTCTCTTGCGAAAGTAGGAAGAGAAAAATGATTCTGTGTTTGAGGCAAAGATAAATGTTACAGAGGATATAGTTTCCTCTAGGTTTTATTTGATCTTTTTATTCTCTCTGAAGACACAGTCTGAAAGAATGTGGAAAACTTCAAAAGCAGAGTAGAAGCACTTGCACTGACACATGGAGACCTTTATGGCTTTCTGTTTACCCGGTGATTTTTTTTTTTTAAAGCCCTAGATAACAAAATTTAAGAATGGAATTGGGAGTCAGCCTTTCATATTGAAGCACCCGAAGTAAAATCTTTTATCAGAGTGGTTTCACACAAATAAATGTTAGTTTGGCACAAGAGGGAGAGGGAACGTGTTCTGATTTCACTTGTCTTGTCAGTGTTTTACATTTTAATCCTGTCACAGGCCTTGTGTTAAAAACATGGTACACCCATCGTCATACTCAGAGAAATTTTTATGCTCAAGCAGAGCCAATCCAGTAGATTTATGTAGGCCTTCCCTGGCCTGCATGAAGCAGTGGTGCATTTTTTCGTTTCCATAAAGAATTTTTTAGAAGCACCAAATACTGATATTGTTTGCTTTTTTTTTTTCTTTTCTCTTCCTCTTTTTTCTAGGATTATGACAGTTTTTTTGAAGCAAAGGAAAGCAACACGGTCTATTCATTTTTAGGCCTGAAACCACGGTTGGCATCAAAGGTAGGGAAATCTTTTCTTGATTTAAAATTATCTTTTTTGAATTGTGTCTAGCGGTTGAGATTGAAGGTGTTAAAGGAATGCGTGTGTAGTCTCCTAAATTTTTAAATTTTGCTTGCTCAAGTGCACGGTCAGGGACTACCTGGTGTAAAAACACAAAGAAGTCCAGCTTTTTTCCCTCCCAATTTTCAATTGTTGTATATTAGAGTTTAATTTTATCTATCATTTATTTATAATCTATATCCTCTTCTTCCAAGAAGAATTTAGGTAGTAAGTGCTTTCTATTTTAAAGTGCAAGTTTACATTATTTTACATTTTTTTGAAATAGCAGAATCAAAGCCATATTTTAACATTTTTTGCACATTTAACTCCTGTACTTTGGAAGGGAGATGGTCTGTAATAATAAATGATCAACTTTGAAAAAAACACTAAAATTCCTAAACTAAATCAGAAAGCTTTTTGAAGCTACTTTATTACATCATATGTCTTTGAAGGAACATAAAAGGCTCAAGCTTTTCTAGTAGTAAGACCAGAAGTTAGATATATTATTACAAGTTTGTGAAATGTATAGATTCACTTCCAAAATAAAAAATAGGGTTTCTTTATTAAATAAGGTAATATTTTATTTCCCCCTTTAAAAAATACCATTTTCTTCTGATTATGAAAGTAGCCTCATTTAGGAAAGGTTCATTTAAGAAAATACAAAAGTATAGAGTAGAAAATAAAAATCACCTATTATCCCACCACCCAGAGATAAGCATGTTAACTTTTTTGGGTATATTTCCTTGTAGTCTTTTTATACAAACCAGTTGAGGTTTTGATTCTTTTTCAAATTGAGACTGAATTCTAAAGTATCTATTTTTAACACTAAATTGAAATGAAAGCGCAGTACTGGGTACTTTGATGTCTGTAAGCAATAGGTCTCTTGAGGCTACCCAGGATCTGTACCATTTCTGGAACACCTATGGGAGGAAAGCAGAAATTATCAATAATATAAATTTTATACCAACACCTGCAGTTCATAGCCGATGTGAAATCTTGCTTTGTTTTTACATTACTAAGTCCACAGATGGTTGTGGGTGGTTTCCATGCATATGTTTTAAACAGTGGCAAAACCCACACATATAATATTTAAAGGTTCTTAAAACTATTTTTATAAAGATGGAACATTGGAATACTTGTTAGGAAAATTGTAGTGTTTTTACAACATATTTCATCCAAAAATATTAAACAATCCAGATTTATCTTCAAAGACCTGGAAAAAACACGGGTGGGAGTAATCTAAAGGATATATAAATCTAGTGGACATCATTATCTCTGCAAAAAAAAAAACCTTAAAAAAAAATACCATGTGCCTGCCATCTTTGTTCTCATTTTTCCCTGAAGAGGCAGATTCCTTAGAGACTCTGAAGACTGACTTTTTTACTCTTTAAAAATATTTATTTTCATAAATTTCCCAGGAAGTCTATAATCTATAAGTATGCATTTTCACATGACCTGTGGTCACAGTATTAAAGTTGGTCTTCCGATGCCATTGACAACTGCTTGATTTCAGTCGACCATTCCAAAGGCATTAAAGGCCCTGGGCAACCCCACCCATTCAGCCCACCACATTCCAGCCCCTCAGTGGGTCATATGAGCAGGAGCACATGGAACCAACCTGCAAGTCCATAGTGCAGTGTTTGTGCAGTCTTCTCTCGTGAATCATTCAGGGCCTTAAGGGCTAATGGCAACTCACACTTGGCATAGGAGAGAGGTGAAAATATGTTTAAGAGCAATTCAGCTTTTACCGCCTTCCTACTCACATATTTTTTTTACTGTGGTAGTAAAACACACTCAATCCACAATCTGCACTCAAAGGCCTAGACAGAGCATTCATGGGTATAATGTACTAAAAGATGGATGCCCCCTTTTCTCCTTTCCTTTCCCTCCCTCTCTGCAGTATATGTACATAAACAGTAGGTCTATCTATGTACTATATACATATATGCCGAGGAACATATAAAAAACACCACTAGCATCTGTAATTGCTCTTACACAGTGAGGAGAGAATAGAGAGATGGTAGGAAGAAAATGTTCACAAGCCCAACAGGCCCAGGTATAAGGTAGACTCTGGGCAGTTCTAAGAAATGGACAGGGCAGAGAAAGGTGAGAGGTCACAAAATGGTGGCCTGTAGGACACACTGGGTCTGGATGCATCTGTCCTACACAGAACTTTGAAAAGAATTTAAATGTGTTGCTCATATTTAAAATACAGGTTTCTCACTTCTCTTCTTTCAAAAAATTGAAAGGACAGAAACCCTAGGGGAGCCCACTTCCTCTTTGGCTAGTTGGAGCCAGTAGAAGCCAACCCATCCTGGGTACCTACCTAAGAGAAAAGGGAGGCCTTTTCGCCAATAATTTTCAGGTGGAAAACCATCAGGTTTGTTGTTTAATTAGACCTAAAGCAGAGCCTGGAGTAGAAGTTTCTGCTTTGGGATCTCTGCCATTCAGAGGTGATATTCAAAATACATAATAGCTAGTAAATCATGGTCAGTCAGTGCAGTCATTGGAAACAGGTGGCTTCCTTTCTCCTTTCATACTTGGCAGGTCAGGTGGGTACGATTGCAATCTATGCTGATCCCGAAACCTAGGATTTGCTTTCATCAATCACATGGGGGTGATTTCTTATGATTTCCAACATCTCCATTCCTGACATCATTAAAAATCATTGCCGGGGTGAATTTTCTTATCAACCCAATGCAACAAGTGACCTTTTTTTCTTTTTTTAAATAAATAGGCAGAACCTTAGAGAAGACGAGTGGAAGATAACGGAGATGCATTTTGGAGCGCCCCCTGGTCCTCAGCACACACCTGCTTACCTAATGCATCACTGTGACTAAAGCCACGTGCATCATCAGTAACTTTGCTTGCCATGGAAAAGGTGTTTTTAGAAGACATGGGTATAATGGGGTTGCATGATTGCTTAGATCCATATCAGGACTGTGGTGGTTTTTCCCTTATTTTCAAAATTGCCTGCAGTTGCCTCATTCACCTGGAGGTACTCAAACCTGTTACAGGTGTGCTTCCTTAATGACTGAAAGATAAAGTGGGTGGCACCATTGGAGAGAAGATGTTGGATCTGCCCTAGGTTGTAGTTGATGCCAGTATTGCTCAGACCTGCCTCTCTTTAAGCAGCCTGGATCATATCCTTGATATGTAGTAGAATCTTTTGATCAGAGAGGAACAAAGCAATGCTGGCTAACAAAAGGCTGCAGATTTTTGCTGCAAAAGTCACAACTGTCACTAGTCCTGGGCTTCGTAATAGCACCTATAGATCAAGATGTTCTAGCCTCCTTTGGTAACGGACACTCTTATTTCCATAAATCCTCCAAACTCCTACAGATGTTTCCAGAAATCACTGTCACAACAATGTGTGATCAGGACCAAGTTACAGGGATAAAAATAGTTGGTATTTTGGAAAATATAGGCTTCTTCATCTCCTGCAAGGGAAAAGTTTTATTTAAATGTAAAAGACAGCTTAGAAAAGATATATTTTAGGAGGTGTCCTAATTAGATAGTAAATTTATAGGGAAATGATCTGACTCCTATCTGAAGGGATTTTCAGCTCTAGCAACTTCTTTATGCACAAGTAACATATTTTTAAATGCAGCTTCCCTAACTAACAGCTGCTTATTCTATTTTGTGAATGGATTATATTTTTTTTGAGAAAGGAAGATCTTGGCTAGATATATTTTGTGAGCCCTTAATGAGGCATACTAAAAGATACTAATATTGGTGTACAATTTCATTTTTTTTCCTCAGTTGCTTTTCACCAGACCTTTAACTGCTTGCTACTGTTTCTGGCCAGTGTACAGTCCCAGATTTTTCAGGGTAATGTAGATACATGTTCTCATTCCGTGTATGGATACCAGTGAGCTTTCAGAGAAAGGGGCTGTCAGAATAGCTCTGAATTTTAGTGGGCATGTAGAATCTCTCTACTCCCTTCGGAATGGATGCTGAACATGTCTACTTCCTTCAGGCAAAGGTTCCTTTTCTCCATCCTTGTCCCTGCTTATGGTCTTTAGAGTTTTTGGTTGCCAGACATAAACAGCCTCGAATAAGATAAATTCTTAGAGGGTTGCCTAAAATATTCTGCTTTCCTCAGCATCGTGATGCTGGACCTGTCATTCAGATTCTGAGCAGGATGTAAGAAATTCAAAGTACATAAGAACGAAAGCCCTGTCACCTGTGTTCTCTCACCCTCCAACTAACTAAATGTGGACCACTCTAAAGGACCTGAATGCTGACGTAGAAACCCCAGCCTGAGATCTGCAGCCCAGGACTATGTTTACGACCCTAAGAAGAGCATGGCCGTAGATTTCGGCTTGACTGGAACAAATACACGATCCACAATTTTCTCTCCAAGGAAAGCTGTTGTGAAATCATGGGTATTACTGCTTAGGTGGCATTAAAGAAGATCCACGTCACATTCCATCTGATAAATCCCAGGGACTATCCAGGAATCTTTTATTTTGAACTGGATATTGTGTTTGAGTCAGTGCGTCTTCTGACAAGGCTTAGAATTTCGTTTGCAGATACAACAGTTTTAAAAAGCTTAATGCCACAGTGGTCTAACTTCATTTAGTCTGCTCTTGCCAATGAGCGCAAAGAACCAACTTGGTAAGATCCAGGCCTTGCAAGTTAGATTCTGGGGTTGTGGGATCAACAAGAGACTTGCTAGACAAAGACAGCTCCTCAGATCTATTCATCTTAAAACTTTTGCTTTACTGTGGTTATGGCAGGACCCGAATGGGTCTCCTAAACAGACTAGTTGGATGGCATTGCTAAATTGTTACCGGTCGCACATCGTCTTCTCATCACCTCATTATTTTAATAATAATTATTATTATTTTTAAATCAGCATAGAAATAAGAGAGCCCAGCCCTGGCTGGTGCTGTACTTGTTACGAGGGAGGTGGAAGCACCCTGTGTGGCCTTTGCTGCAATACCCAGGCTCCGCCGGGCACTGCCCTCTGGGACCACGTTGTGTTCAGAGAAGCTTGTCTCTTTCCTTGTACTGTTTTACCAGCTAAATTCCAAACATGTAATGATTTCCTGTTTCCTTCTTTAACTAGCTGCCTTTAGATTTGAATATTCACACACTTAAAAACCTAGGAAAGAACTAGGTGGGAGTTGCAGACGTAGATGTAATATCAAAGGCATTTCAGAACTTTTATTTCCTGGAGTAGGCTCATTGGGACAAAGGAAATGTGCTGCTAAAAATAAAATTATGCCAGTTTAAAATTAGATAAAATACAGAGTGCCATCCTGCTAGGTATATGCAGACCAAAAGAAAATTTAGTTGGGGAAATACTGATTTTTTCCAAATTCCGGTGTTCTGTTAAAATCAAAGAGAAGAAAAGGAAAAATTTTTTTTCTCTATCAGATCCTGATATATTTTAGATTTGTTTCCGTTTTATAGATTCCTTTAAATACCTAGCTGTTTTGTATTCCATGAATTTAAAAATGAACTAAACTTGTTTTTGTCTTCTGTTATTGAAAGGTACCAAAGCCTCTTTCTATTTTGCTTTGTTTTTTTAATTTGATTTTGCTATATAGGGTTTTGCTTTTTCTAGAAATACTTTTCATTTAACAGCGTTTCTTAAGTGTCAGGGCCCTCTTTGATCTGCATAATTATTATTTTTAGATTTCAGTGTGTATGCGTTTGTCTTTAAGGGCCCTGGTAAAACCTCAGATTTTATATTCAGCATTAAAGAGAAATAAATTCCAGAAAACACATATTCTGAAAATGGAGTGTTTGTCCCCTACCATTTCTTATATATACCTTTTCTAATGTCAGTTCTGTGTTTGCTTGAAACCTTCCTGTTCAGTTGGGATGTTATACTTCTACTCCTGTTCCTGAATCTCATACCTGAATGCTGCAGATTGCTTGTAAAAATGCGGACAGAGCATTTGACCATTGGAGGAGACCAACATGACGTGGTTCTGTGTGTATGTGTTATGGGAAGTGATCACAGAATCCTCTCAGTGACCAGGACCAAGGACGCATTAGATCTCTTGTTCCCTTGGTTGGTTCCAGTAGATGATAGTGCTTTCCTGCATACACTGAAGCCACAGGCTGGTGGATTTGTTCCCTTAACTGGGTGCAAAAAACCAAGTACAGTGTAGCCGCCACCCTTAAATAGCCAGGCCTCCCTTGAGGCAGCCCTCTTCGAAAGCGGGAGAAAACATTTCTGAAGGCAGAGTCTGAGGCTGATCTCATCACTGAATTATCTCAGACCTTAAGCACTGAGACAGAAGGAGGGTGAAGGAGGAGAGAAAAGAGAACAGACTAAGCTTGACGGAAATATGCCAAATCGTGAAGCCAAATAAGCCAGGTCATTACTGCCCACTTATACCCCAGATTTTCAGTGTTCCCAGTTCTTCTAGAAGTGCGGGTCATCCTTTCAGTCAGCATGTGTTGAGCCCCTGGACTGGAGTGGGTACTGTCTGAGCAGGGCAGGAGTCTCCACCGTGAAGGAGAACACAGTCAAGGGTGGCCATTACTGCCGAGTGATGAACAATAGGGTCGAGGTCAGCTCCTGGCACTCTGTTCGTCGTGAAATGTTATGTGTAATCTCCTTTGCTTGTTACAGCCCTTCCAGGTTTTAAGATTATTTCTTGCAATGGAATATATACACGTACATACACACACACTCAAATATAAAGAGAACAAGCGCCTGTGTGCCTGCCACCAGCTCAGTGCCTTGCCTTTGAGGCGCTGTGTGCTCTTTTCGGACCCTATCCCATCCCTGTTTGAGAGTGGGAGCCCCTCTCCTGAAGTCTGCAGATCATAGCCTTTCTCCCCTTTACCGTTTTACCTCCTTTATCCTCTGTACCTTTAAGTAATAATAAATGGCATTAAACTGTATTCTTCTGTCACTTTACGTTCTTTGCAATTGGGCGTTATCATTTTGGAACAAGTATCCTGGTTTCTTTTCACTGCTAGGTACTACTTCATTGTATGACTGTATCACAGTTTTTCCCTTCTTCTGTTGCGGGATATTGAACTGCATCTTTCTTTGAAATAGAAAAAGGCAGTGTTGCTATGAACATTCTTTTATATGACTTTCAGTGCACATAGCCAAGACTGAATGTATACCTTGAATAGAATTGCTGTGTGGTACAGTAAAGCACATTATCAATAGATATGTTCTCCAAATTGTTCTCCAAAGTCATGCTACCAGCTCACACTTTCACTGGTATCCTAGAATTTTCAGTACTCTAGATCCTGCCCACATTCGGGATCATCGGAAATGAAATGGAGTTTTTGCCAAGCCGAAAAATATAACATGGTATCTCATTGCGGTTTCATTTTGCACATATTTGATTACTAATAGGTTGAATGTGTTTTATTATGGTAATTCCTAAGTAGGAATTTGGAAATTCTTCTTTGTGTCTCCTACCTTTTTTCCTACCGTGTTCTGTTTTTTAATTATCAATTTGTAAAAGTTCTTTATAACTTACCTTTTATCAGTTAATGCTTATTTAACTATTTAAAGAGAAATTATATTTAGAGTAGAAAAATCTTCTGAAGCAATTACCAGAAGTATGAAAAGCATGTGAAGCTTTCTTCTATTTGGAGAAAATAAAGTTAAGTGCATATATTGTGTGTTTTTATTGTGTGCTAATTTTCAGCTTGTCCACATAGTCGCCCAGAGAAGCCCCTCTGTGCTCTAGCAGGGTTCTTTCTTTGAAGCTTATCGTAAGGCTCATCAATTCTAGTTATTTGGCAGGAAATTAATATCATTTGGTTCTCTGCTACAAAATTTTATTGAAAGGAAATCTTTATATAGACTGCATATTTATATATGAACATTTCCTTAGTTTACCAAAATGTAAGATTACGCTAGGCCAAAATGATAATATACTTAAAAGGACATCAAAAAAGTTACTTTAAGTCATAGATTGTTTTGAGCCTATACTCATAGTTAAATAATCCTTAAGCTGAATGAGATCTGTAGCCTATGAATATAACCCAGTGTGTTGTGCTCATAGCATGTTTTCATGTGTGTGAACTGACTGGTGGGTATAAGAATGAGAAACTACCCTGCAGCCTTATCTTCTGAGGCTCTTGCTGCCCAGGGACAGCATTTTTAATAGATTTTTAATAGGATCCTGGCATGCTAGAAGATGTAGTATGAAGGA